GCTACGGGTGATGTGTTGATTTTGATTAAGTGGTCGTCAATATATATGTTTTCGGGGAAGGAAAAGCCTATTCTCCTGGCATGGAAGCAAAGACGGCGTAACGGCAGCGTCGGGCTTGCGTAAATAAGCGTGGCTAAAATAGGTGAGCATGTGATCATTTTACACTGGCAGAAATGGAATCTGTGCCCATGAAAACATATATATTGACACCAAAGACTACTTAATCAATACCAGAACGACGTCCAATGATCCCGCAAAAAATGGCCGCCATCTTGGAAATATCTTCATGAAGTGGTGGGAAAAAATCTGAAATATAGTCACGACCCCTGCCAATATTATATTTAAAGTGAAAATAAAAAAAATATGTTGAAATATTATCGCAAAATGGCTACACTCAAATAATGGCATTCTATACTATGAAGACCTTCTAAGAAAAAATGTCAACATTAATGTTTTGTCATCAAACAGCAAAACCGTATTCCACGATTTCTACCCGAAAAGCCAACTCATGGCAATTATGTAACAAACCCAATCGGGCTATTATTAGTCTGAGTATTATATGGCGTGTTAATGTGTATTAGTTATGCGTATTTACTACTGCATCCTTAACCGATCTGCGATATGGATAAATATTTGGATTACAAACTCTGTCCATCGAATTACTCAAAGTAAAATACTTTGTTGTACCGTCAACATTATGGCCTCTTGTTTGAACAGTATCATCCGAATCACGCTTGTGTGTCAAAATTGCTGCTGAGACTTGTATTCCCAATTAAAATCAAAGATCAAAATTTTTAAAAAGTCTTGTGAGCTTTTATATATCAACATTTAATATTAGCATTTGGTCATTAAATGATTACCCTGAAACATCGTAGTCAAATGTTAACAAGATCTTTTCAGTGTAAACAAGAGGTTGAGTTTTGATGCGCACCAAAATCGAACCCTTTCAAGATTTTTTGATCCTAAACATATTTGTTATCTTTCATCTGAATCAGATAAAAATTGTAGCCTCTAGCGGGGCCAAAAAATTATGAAATATTTCACATTTTGCGTAAAAGGCAGGGGGCATAACTCCAGAATAGGAGGTCCGATACGCACCAAACGTGACCTCCTACAGGGACCGTTGATATATAACATACATTTAAAGTTTTATTTACACTATTTACGTAAAGGGGATAGGCCATTTTGACGGGGGGTTGGTCATTTTTGTCTTAATAATTAGTAATTGCCCCACCAATCCTCGGACATTCAGCAATTCATCTTGGCAAGCCCCTAATCAACCGTCCAATCGCGGTTTGGGGTAATCTGACCCACCCCTCTTGCAGTGCCACGGCCAATTGTTGTCGACGAACACATCTCCCGATCATGTCCCAGACATGCTCTATTGGGGAAAGGCAGGACTCGTGACTGGCCAAGGCATATGGACACGAGTGCGGTGGGCACGGGCATTATCATCTTGAAAGATGAAACGTCGAACTGCACGTTGAGGACTCGTGGCTGGCCAAGGCATATGGACACGAACGCGGTGGGCAATGGCATTATCATCTTGAAAGATGAAACGTCGAACTGCACGTTGAGCCAAGGATGTGGTCACGGTAGTACACACCAGTGACCCTCCCTTGAACAATATGCAAGTCCGTTCTGCCAGTCATGGTGATTCCTCTCCACACCATAACAAACCCACGCCCGAATCTGTCATGCTGTCTGACGTTAACGTTAGCATGACGCTCATTTACACGCCTCCAAACGCGAGCACGCCTAACCGTGAACATTAAATCTGGACTCCTCTGAGAACATTACACGCGCCCATCGACGATTACCCCAATTCCTACGCTGCCTACACCATTGACGCCTGTTTGCCATGTGCTGATGAGTTAATGGAAGCACAACACGCGGTCGTCGCGTATGCAAATGGGCTGTGTGTAGCCGATTTCTAATCCTTTGGGGTGTAACTCGAATTCCTGTATCACGGTACAAGTTTACAGAAAGCTGATTGGCCGTTTATCCTCGATTTCGCAGGACCTGTGTGCGAATGTATCGATCCTGGGATTGTGTAGTGGCTCTAGGGCGACCTAAACGAGGTCTATCATCAGCATTGTGTGTTTGTTGGTACCGGTTCCACAGTCTGCTGATCACAGACTGTAACACATTAAGCATGTTGGCTACTGCTGCACGCTGTTGAAGACGTCTCATTGCAAATTAAACGTAACACACTAAAGCAAAGATACGCTTTAACAATAAATATTATCGAAGAACCGATAGGAAAACAAACATGATGGATAGGATAAACCAGCACGCCTCAGTTTTTATCAACCCTTCCTTGAAGTGTCAAATTTGAAAATTAACCTCTCCCACGCGTATGGCACTATTGCATGTCGCAGGTGTAGCTAAGTGTTTCTGTTGGGGCGATAAGTTCTTCATCTGTGCCATGGCCCAAGAAGTTGCGAACTGGTGCTGGCCAAAATAGATCTACCCCAAGATCTTTTGATCCTTAATATATATCTATAGTTTCATCTAAATCGGACCAACCATGGTGAGATCTAGAGGGTCCATAGACTTTGTGCATGATTCACATGTTGCGTAAAGGCCAAAGGCCAGAATTGCGGTCTGATGCAGACGAAAATCGAACTCCTCCAAGATCTTTTGATCGGTAACTATTATCGCAAGCTCCGTCTGAATCGGACCAAAAATTATGGCCTTTGTTGTGGGTCCATTGCCGTCAAATAATGAGTTCTCGTTGATTTAAATGATGATTTTCTTAGAGCTTTGCAAAAACATTACTTTTTAATTCCGCTGCACATCTTATCTCAAAATATGTGTGCAACGAGAACTCATTTCCCTCCAATCTTGTCTCATAAATTCACAGCTCGGGTGGCGACCCACCCACCCTTCAGCCACCAGACTAGTATAGTGCAGCTGCTGTTTTATCGTCTGGTAGAGCCGTTTGACATCCCACCACTAGCGTCATAATATTCAGATTAGATGAATTTGGAGAAATGTTTTTTGACAATGGTTTTCCAAGATTTGTATTTGCTGATTTGTATTTGGTAATTTGTTGTTTGAGATTTGATTTTCGTTGTACGTTTCTGATGAAATTTAAATGTAATTTTTTGATTTTTTAAAAGAAATTTTATCATTATATTGAAATACAATTAAATTAAACAAAGATGCAATTTACAGATCTGATATGACAAATGTCTGATTTGTAAAACAAATATTGATGTTAAGATACAAATGTTAATTTTAATATATAAATGTCGAAATACGACAAAAAAGGAAGAAATAAGAATTAAGGACTATGAATTAAGAACTAAGAATTAAGAAAACTGGATAAATAGCTGTTTGGTCTTCCATGACTTCTTAGGTTATAGCCCCATACCATTTACGTTTAATTGTGAAATATGTATGATGGCAGTGGATCCACAACAAAGGCCATAATTTTTGGTCCGATTCAGACGGAGCTTTACGCAAAATGTGAATCATGCACAAAGTCTATGGACACTCTAGAGTTCACAATGTTGGTCCGTTTTAGATGTTAAGAATCAAACGATCTTGGGGGAGTTCTATTTTGTCCAGCACCAGTTCGCAACTTCTTGGGCCATGGCACTTGCCTTTTGCGCAAAATGTGAATTGTATATATACTCTCCAAAAAAAGTAGGCCGTCGTAGAGCCACTACACAATTCCAGGATTGATACATTCGTACACAGGTCCTGCGAAATCGAGGACAAACGGCCAATCAGCTTTCTGTAAACTTATACAAAGTTACAGGAATTCGTGTTACACCCCAAACGATTAGAAATCGGCTACATGCAGCCCATTTGCATGCGCGCCGACCACGTGTTGTGCCTCCATTAACTCGCCAGCACATGGCAAACAGGCATCAATGGTGTAGACAACGTAGAAATTGGGGTAATCGTCGATGGGCGCGTGTAATGTTCTCAGATGAGTCCTGATATGAGCGTCATGCTAACGTTAACGTCAGACAGCATGACAGATTCGGGCGTGGGTCTGTTATGGTGTGGGGAGGAATCACCATGACTGGCAGAACGGACTTGCATACTGTTCAACGAAGGGTCACTGGGTGTGTACTACCGTGACCACATCCTGGCACCGATAGTTCTGCCCTTTGCTCAACGTGCAGGTCGACGTTTCATCTTTCAAGATGATAATGCCCGTGTCCACCGCGCTCGTGTCGTGAATGACTACCTCCAGTTTCACCAAATTGTCAATATGCCTTGGCCAGCCATGAATCCTGACCTTTCCCCTATCGAGCATATTGGGACATGATCGGGAGACGTGTTCGTCGACGTCAACGTCAACCGACAACACTGCAAGAATTGGCCGTGGCACTGCAAGAGGAGTGGGTCAGATTGCCCCAAATCGTGATTGGACGGTTTATTAGGAGCATGCCACGACGAATTGCTGAATGTCTGAGGATTGGTGGAGCAATTAATTACTCATTATTAAGACAAAAATCAAAAACGTCCATTTTCACTTTTGACAGTGTATCTCTTTGCGAGTAAAATGGGGCCGTCAGATAAGCCACCAATATGAACTGTTTATGTTCATGTGTTGGCAATTGGCCTGTTATTAACATACACTGGTTACCTCTAATAAAACAGCAGTGCATTTCCGCAGTTTTGTATTGTTTCTGAATTTCCCCTACTTTTTTGAAGAGTATATTTCACCAACTATAAATCCTTGAAAATATATTGATTTATTGTTAACTACATGTATTTATCTTTTTTAATAAACACGGCGTTTCTTTTTATTTATAATACAACACTCGCATTAAAATGCGTTGTCAGTTTTCCACAAACACCAGGTTAGTATGTTGTGGTGTTCATCTATATAAACACCTACTTTTCCTCAAACTATCACCTGTGCACGTGCTAAAACAACACATTACAGGTTGATCAGTTACTTGAACAACCGTGCCAAAACAACGGGTCCAGTAAGTAAATAAATGTACTGTTGTATAAGGCCATATTCCTTCCAGGGTATTACACAATTACATGGTATGGAGACTCTTAGAACGATACGCCCCAGAGTTATCTTGGGAATATGTCCATGCCAACAGAGAGTATTATGTTGATGTATTTGGTGTTGAACAGTTCTCGGGAAAATGGAATTATTGTTTTGGTTACGTTAACAGAATGATGCCAGAGGCAATGGGTTCTTTATTTGTTCGCGATCATTTTCCAACGGAGAACAAACAGAAGGTATTCGTCTCTTTTAACTGCTTTTTAATACTAACCATTAACTAATTTGGCTCTCTATAATCACAAATACACTTAAACACGAACATGGTCTTCTCGAAGACGTTAGTTACCCTAGTTCAGAAGCTAGCAAAGATGTGATTAACATCTCGAGTACAAAAGGTTTGAGGCCTGGCATTATTAGATATGGGATCGGGACGCCCCCACCCCAGCCAAAAAAACAAAAAAATGCAACTCTTAAGTAATGATTTTGGTATTATAGTACATCTCGAGTACATCCATGAAAGCTATGTCAAAATGTTCCTTAGAATTTCCCAATGATAATATGAATCCTTCCGGGTGGTGTATTTAGGGATTAACCCACTTTGTCTCTCATAGGTCACTATTGGTCGACCACGCCTACTCTACTTTAAATGTATATCTCAGTGTAAGCACAAAATGTGTATCAAACTGTTCCTTGGGACCCCCTGGGGCAACATGAATACTTCCAGGTGGTCAATTTTAGGGCTTAACCCACTTCTTAGTCAATGTCATCATTGGTCTTCACCTTTAATGCATATTTCAGTACACACATGTACCTTCAATGCATATCCAAGTTTTGACCCCCTAGAGCAATGTTAGTTTTGGTAAGACCCGTCCAATGTGCATGCATGCACATGGTCGAGTACATGCAACATATGAATCTGTCCGAGATTTGGGGTATTAACCCCCGCCTGAGGAGGTCATAGGTTACCATTGGTTGCATCGTATCGGTTGTTTTGGTTAAACGAATTTACATTTTGTCAAGCCTTCTTTTATGTTGACTCGACCCATCCCACCTCCCATCAACATGTAAAATACACGCTCTGCGTATAGGCGCTACCGTGTTCTGTGGGCGAAATACCCGAAACAAAGGAGCTGTATTCGATCCCCAATTACAGAATTACAAAATGGCGAAGGAGCAAGGCTGTTGACATGTGGCAGGAATTGTACGCCAATGTACAGTATACAAAGAAAATCCATTAAATATGACACATGTTCAGACTTATTGATCCTCTAAATTGAGAAGCCAGAAGGACTTGTATTTATACAATGTCTTCAAATAGTCATTTTGACACCAGTCATGACTATGTACACATTGGACGGAACCGACTCAAAGTGATCTTTGACCTACTCAGAAGGTGTTAATCCCCGAAATTGACAACTCAGACGGATCCATAATGGCACAGGGGGTCCTAACAGTTTGGCACCCACTCTGTGCTTGTACATAATATACTCTGGCAAGTATATTATGAAACATTTGTCTGCGATATCACCCAAGGTGGAAGCGGACAGAAAACCCCACGAACGAACGATGTACAGCGCAGTGTACGCTTACGGCTGGCCCCCGGATCCATTCACTTGATTTTATATTTGTTGTTTATTTCTTGCCATTTCTATATTTTGTCTTATCCGTAGGTTTGTCTTGTCGGTTTTGTTTTCCGTGTAGAGCGGCCCACCTGCACTTACTATTAGATATGCATTCGAGGTATCTACTCAGATATGCATTAAAGATGGATTGGGCGTGACAGACCATTTCTGACCCTTGACCTACTCTGAAGTTGGTTAATCGCCAAAATTGACCACCCGGATGCATTCATATTGACACAGAGGGTCCCAAGGACCCTTGACCTACTCTGATTTTGGTTAATCGCCAAAATTGACCACCCAGGTGCATTCATATTGACACAGAGGGTCTCAAGGAAGTTTGACGTCAATTTTGTGCTCTCTACTGGAGATGTACTCTAAATTGGATTGGGCATGTCCGACCAATGGTGACCTTTAACCTACCCAAAAGCAGGTTAATTCCCAAACTTAACAAGGCGGTCCCAAGGAACAGTTTGATATCCACATTGTGGTTGTAGTTAAATAGGCTACTGAGATATACGTTAATAGTGGAGAGGGCTTGACCGATCAATGGGGAACGTTGACCGACTCAGACGTGAGTAAACTCCCTAAATGGGCCACTCAGTAGTATTCTTGTTGCCCCAGAGGGTCCCAAGGAACAGTTCGATGCCCATGTACTGAGATATACATTTAAGATAGCGTAGGCGTGGCCGAGCAATAGTGACCTTTGACCTATTCAGAAGGGGTTAATTTCCATTTAAGTTAGGGTGTGCGTGACAGACCAATAGTGAGTGACCCTTGACCTACTCAGAAGTAGGTTAATCCTCAAAATGGACGACTCAGAAGGGCTCATATTATCACTCGGAATCCTAAGGAACATTTTGTCATAGCTTTCATGAGTGTAATGAATTTGGGCGATGATTTGAACAATGCTCCCTGGTAGTGTCCCCAAACCTTTTGTACTCGTGATGTTAATTTAATCTTTGCTAGCTTCTGGACTACCGGCATTTCATCAAATGTTCATTTAATAAGATCTACAAATATTAATTTTGTGGATAAATTGCACATAAACGGGATTAATCAAGGCACCGACTATGCTAATAACACAATCTGATTAATACACATCCTATTTCGTTTCGTTTTTTAGAGTTAAAAAATTTCGTTTTATTTATCCGTACTACACTAGGACATGGAAGAGTTGTTATATAAGATTAATCAACGCCAACGCTGATTGATTAATCAATGTCTGACGTCATAGGGTCAAAAGCCGCTCGTACGACCCCTGACGCGACGTTTCAGTAAAACTGGTCAGATATTCATGTAGTGTAGGCCATCGAAAGCATAAAAAAGCGAAACGGAAAACAGATCTGTATTTTAATCAGATTGCTAATAACATAATATAGGAATATGAAGGGACTTTGCGTCAAATATAGCTTCCGGTCGAATCACGTTAGTAAATAAAAGTCGATAAAAATTTAGATATCAATCCCATGTTTGATGCCAGCTATGATCATCTGAAATGCGCAATTTTAATATTTCTTAGTTTTTATACGCCCACATTTTCATGTGGACGTATATTATCGTCGCCCCTGTCCGTCCGTCCGGACGTCCGTCCGTCCACAATTGTTTGTGAACAGTCTACAGGTCACAATTTTTATCCGATTTCAATGAAACTTGAAATATAGGTTTATCACCCTAAGATCTCGGTTCCTTTCGATATTAGCATGTATCGGACTGTAACTTCATGGATTATGGCCCCTGATTGTACGAAAAATCACGTTTTTAGCTTGTGAACACTGTAGAGGCCACAATTTTATCCGATTTGGTTCAAACTTGAAATGTATGCTTATAACCCTAAGATCTCAGTTCCTTTCGATATTCGCGCATATCGGAACGTAACTTCCTGAATTATGGCCCCTGATTGTACGAAAAATCGCGTTTTTAGCTTGTGGACCCTATAGAGGTCATAATTTTTATCCGATTTAAAAAACCGTTTTATTATATCACCGTTACACCCTAAGGACGACTGAGTTCGAATTTAATAAAAAAAACGGCCCAAAACTGACAGACAAAATGGCCGCCTTTAGTTCTCAAATAGCGTAATAAATATGGTATATCAGGGTTGTGGACCCTATAGAGGTCACAATTTTTATCCGATTTTGTTGAAACTTGAAATGTAAGTTTATGACCCAACGATCTCGGTTCCTTTCGATATTCGCGTATATTGGACCGTAACTTCCTGAATTATGGCCCCTGATTGTACGAAAAATCGCGTTTTTAGCTTGTGGGCCCTACAGAGGTCATAATTTTTATCCAATTTCAAAAAAATGTATTATTATATCACCGTTACACCCTAAGGATGGTTGAGTTCGAATTTCGTGAAAATCGGCCCAAAACTGACAGACAAAATGGCCGCCCTTCGTTCTCAGATAACGTAATAATATGGTATATCAAGGTTGTGGACCCTATAGAGGTCACAATTTTTATCCGATTTTGATGAAACTTGAAATGTAAGTTTATAACCCAAAGATCTCGGTTCCTTTCGATATTCGCGCATATCGGACCGTAACTTCCTGAATTATGACCCCTGATTGTACGAAAAATCGCGTTTTTAGCTTGTGGACCCTATAGAGGTCATAATTTTTATCAGATTTAAAAAATCCTATTATTATATCACCGTTACACGTTAAGGACGACTGAGTTTGAATTTCGTGAAAATCGGCCCAAAACTGACAGACAAAATGGCCGCCCTTCGTTCTCAAATAGCGTAAAAATATGGTATATCAAGGTTGTGGACCCTATAGAGGTCATAATTTTTATCCGATTTTGTTGAAACTTGAAATGTAAGTTTATAACCCAAAGATCTCGGTTCCTTTCAATATTCGCGCATATCGGAATGTAACTTCCTGAATTATGGCCCCTGATTGGACGAAAAATGGCGTTTTTAGCTTGTGGACCTAATAGAGGTCATAATTTTTATCGGATTTTGTTGAAACTTGAAATGTAAGTTTATAACCCAAAGATCTCGGTTCCTTTCGATATTCGCACATATCGGACCGTAACTTCCTGAATTATGGCCCCTGATTGTACGAAAAATCGCGTTTTTAGCTTGTGGGCCCTATAGAGGTCATAATTTTTATCCGATTTAAAAAAACCGTATTATTATATCACCGTTACACCTCAAGGATGGCTGAGTTTGAATTTCGTGAAAATCGGCCAAAACTGACAGACAAACTGGCCGCCTCTCGTTCTCAAATAGCGTAAAAATATGGTATATCAAGGTTGTGGACCCTATAGAGGTCACAATTTTTATCCGATTTTGTTGAAACTTGAAATGTAAGTTTATAACCCAAAGATTATAAATTTGCACATATTGAGTTGTAATTTTCTGAATTATGGCCCTTGATTGTAGGAAAAATCACTTCATTTTTAGCTTGTTCTCTATCCATCTCTCGAAAATGTGGGCGTATCCTGCCTGGCAGCCGCTGGTTCATCAACAATTTGGATATTTCACTAAATTTTTTCAGTTTTGAATGGAATGTTCTGATCACCGGCTAATGCCGTTTCTCTATCTTCAGGCAGTTGAAATAACGACTTACTTGAGAAGTGCAGTAATTGATGAATTGAATGCAAATACTTGGATGAATTCTGATACTAAAAAGATAGCCATCCAAAAGGTATGCCTTGTTCAGTTTGATTTTAATGACTTCGTCTGTAATTTGATGCTATTTGTTCATACAAATTCGCAAGCTTGTGTTTTGAAGTAATGTTTACTAGGTGTGTATTGACCATTATATTCCAATTATACGGTATTGATTTAAATGATACATCCATTGATTGGTAGAATATATACATTGGCATTGGACGATTATTTATCTCGTATAGAGTAAATATAGTATTTAAAATAGTATACTATGTACTGTCACTGAGGAATTATTTACAGGTAGGACCCCTTTGTTTTATTTATCTGTGGTTCAATAATAATGATAATCAACTTTAACAAATTGATCAATTCATGGAGATCCCTAATGATACCCACCCCCCACTGTGAAAGACAACGAAACCGAATCATCTACAAACAGAAGAGACGCAAAACTGTCCAAGATGAAAAAAAAATATTTCTCGCAAACCGTTTATCAATAATATATACAATTTATTTCCTAATGCTTATTAAGGTGAATATAGCTGGCCTACAAGTTCGTGCTCTAACTTATCTTTAAAATTTTCCCTCCATGAAACAGTTTTATGGTATTAATCAAAATTAATGGAACATATTATTGCATTGCAGATAACTAAACTAATATATAAGATAGGATTTCCTGCTTTTATGCTTGATGGTGACCAGTTGGATAAAATATATAAAGAGGTAATGATGAAATATCGGTTTTGCGGTTTGACTCAATACCTTTTCGGTTTCTTGCGTCTTAGACCCGAGGAGACAGCATAGGTTAAGTATCTATTTAGTCGCCGTTTTCATATGATACCTATTTTATAACGACCGAAAATTTTGTATTCTTTGTCTTTATGAGCCTTAGAGTTTTCGAACATTTTATTATTACTATAAATTTCTGATTTGGGGGTTGTCTTTGTTATTTATGCATATTGTGTTTTACACATTATCGTTAGTCCTAATGCATACTATATTTAGGAACCAATTAAGCTAGTGCCGGGCCTGTTGCCAATGCTATAAAGGGGCCTCAAAGTAAAGAAAATAATGTGAATGTGACCGAAGGCCTGGGGCTCGTTTTCACTGTTCAGCTAAGGTGGTTATTTTTCGTTTTCATCTTTCTGCAACGACTGTGATTTCAATTCCAAGTGCTTTCGTATTTATGCTTCTATGTATCACATAGATACCACACTCCAATTTATTTCTGTGTTAAAATAATAACCCCTGCTGTCCATGAAAGTTGAAATCATTATAATTATATAATAATAGAGGAATTGATAGCTTGAAAATGCTGAGTTCGTAATGTGTGTTACTTTACCTACTACTGTCTGTTCCAGGTGAGACTCCGATTCGAACATTTCTTATTTCTTCAAATTTTGCGGTAACTTTGCGGAATACCCGGAATTGTTATCCCTTTACTTTACACGTCGTACTTTCTGCGCGCATACATCGATATCAGTGAAATAGAAAACAGGTACTTCAGTAGGCCCTGTGATTTTTTTTCAAAATGGCTGCCCAAGTTATCAGCTTTTAGAAAATATCAATTTTGTCCATATGTAATAATCCGTATAGTATTTTTACTACGAACCTTGCGTTAATTATCTCATAGAGAAATACCTCAAAATAGTTGTTCTTCCAGCTAATTCTCTTGAGTATGTGTTTGTCCGACAGTCTCTTGCTGTTTTAGCTCTAGAAGAATTAAGCTGAAATATTGGTAGGCCTATATATGTAGCCTCTTTAAGAAAACAACTTTTCTTCTTTTTATCATAATTAAAGGACAATATTAGTGTTTTATCAGTTATGTCACATATGTGATAATGGCTGACACCAATATTGTCCTTTAAGTGTATACATAACGAATCCGCACCAATAGCGGCGAATGCTCATCCCGTGACGGTCCACGTGACCCCTTGGTCGTACAAACTGGATACGGTCAGTTGCCATTTGCGCCGTGGCCATGCTAATCTTCTCTGTATCGTTCCAATTTTAATATACTCAGAAGTACATCCTTGCGCAGGGGCTATTTCACACACACACACACACATTGTAATTTGCGCGTAGATCGGCCTTTTCAGAGAAACTAAACATGTAAATATACCAGAGCACTGAAATCTATACACAATCTGTTATGTGGTTTGCTTAAATTACATTTTATTATCATACCACGGCACGTAAAGGTAGAACCCAAATGAGTAGATGACGACGGGTAATATCACTATGGAAAGTTCACAAACTCTATTCTTGATGCATTATTAAACTAAAAAATTCCAATTATCTCAAAACTAAGTCAGATAAAAATATATGGAAAATTAAATGTAAATAAATCTCGTGGTATGAACACAACAACGCGGCCATGTGCGCTTGATCTACCAAGAGTTGACCTTCCGTTTGCTACCGTTTCATTTTCTTCCATATCCCCACTTGCTACGGAGGATTTTCACAAAGTAAAAAACAGAAATCAAACAGAAAATAGGAATGGCTATCTAAAACTGATAATAGATAACTGGCGTATCAAAGGCAAAGCCTCCCTTTTTGCCAAGTTTCTATTGAATTTAAAACTTTAAATATTACCAATTATGATGGTCCGTGAAGGTCGATATCTTTCTGAAAAGTGTCACATGGCCAAGTTTTGTTGATTCTAATATTCGTGAGACGCCGTAATAGAAAGGATACTTTTTCGGTCGCTAATATAAGTCGTACAAAGTCAAATAAAATCGGCAAATGTATATCTAGTATAAAAAGGTCGATATCCTTAGACTAAATTAATTTGATCATAATGCCAGCCTAAACTCCAGTCCAATTTTTCCATGAGCTCCCAAATCAAATTTTAAGAGAAGGAATAACTATGCTAACAGGTATTACTATTGCATGTGACCGAGTCTGGTTATTTTATGGACCGAGTTTGGGTATGTCCTGTAGCCATCACGTGTAAGTACAATATCCCTGTCACACTAAATAGCGTATGAGAGAAACGTATTACTTGAAATTAATAAAAACAATTTTATACGCTCGAAATGCTCTTGAAAATACAGAATTGTTCGTATACTTACCGTATTGAACCTATGCTTATCGTATATAAATCTTGCTTCCGAATACGCACAATTTTCTTATGCATGCTTAAGAAAACATTTCTGCCTCGCCGTAAATCAGCGTATGCCACCGTGTTTGAAACTATACAAACCTATGCCTAACGTACCCCTAGTCCATCTTTTGTTTGAATATTGATACATATTGATCACCTCTTTTAAACAGTTGAGTTATTTCCAGTTCATGTATTTTTTTTACAGCTGGCAATAAATAAAACAGATTATTTCCAAAACATTCTGAACATCAACCAATTCCAGAAAGTTTATTATGAGAATCAACTAGAAGGTGGTGTTGACCGAACTAGGTGGATATTTAAAACATTTGATACAAATATGGCTCTACTTTATTATTGGAATGAAATTATTGTACCTGCTGGTTTTCTCCAGTCTCCCCTCTACGATTACCATATGCCACATTATATGAATTTTGGTTCTATGGGTAGTTTAATTGGAAAGTATTTAACATTCTCCATTGATCAATATGGTAAGATATTTTATATATTACATATTAATTTTAAAAGCAATATTTTATTCAGAAGTTGAAAGAGATTAGGGAACAGATACAACCCGTATGATCTCTTTCCTTATACGACTTATATTAGCGACCGAAAAAGTACCCTTTCTATAAGGGCGTCTCCCGAATATTAGAATCAACAAAACTTGGTCATTTTTCACTTTTAAGAAAGAAGATAGCATACACAAATTAAGAATTTTCGCGACTACCGACCTAAATTGTTCCAGACATCCATGACTCTTATCCTGCATATATTCACCTATCATAATACATTATAATGCACTATATAATAATGTATTCCACAATATGACTCACAAATCTCAGAAAACATGTGCAAAGATTCTTTTGAGTCATTTATGGGACTTGTGCACACCGATTGAGAACTATTGTTGTTTAGGGAAATATCGACTAAGAAGTTGTTTAAACACTGAGACATGGAGCATCAGGTGGGTATCATATAGACAAACACTTCCCATTCACTACTCTCCAGTCATTCCAAAGAGGCGAGTGTGGATTCTGGAGTCTGTAATGCCGCATTATGTAGGGACCTTTTGCATTAAACTATGGATTTAAACAAAATGTAATAGGTATGTTGGTTGAGTGATGCTTGTCCAGGATTTTCAACTGGGCAGGAAATGGACCAGCGGCGTGAATTGGAGGAGCGAGGCGAGGGGGTGATTCTTCTAAAATTTCTGATGGATTGCAGATAAATTCATAACTTATTGTCCGGATAAAGCAGGGGCAGCTTTAAAGAGAAATTTGTCCCTAAAAGCTGCTCCTACATAATCCTAGCAATAGGGTCTGAATTTATTTAGCTGCAGTCCATAATGAGTTTTAGGAGAATTATAACAGAGATGTGTGTGTATGTGACAGAGCTTGTCCGTCGGTTCCTCCCAGGTTCTTAATTCTCTGCTTGTGACTTGTGATAGTCTATGGTATTCTGACTTCACGTTGGCTTTGTAAGACTAACGCATTATATCCTTCTATGTAACTTTATTATCGTTGAATTAGTCGAGATGGCTCCCAGTAGATATACTTCGGTAGATATTCACCGTTTACCTATAGAAACGGATTCTACGTCTAACAGCTGCGAAGAGAGACCAAAATCGGCTCTCGAATGAAGAAAAGAAGTCATGCCCCATCAATCTATTACTGTTCGTCAAACTGAACAAGATAATGCACTCATAGGAGCGACCCTGTCCGTTCAACTGAACAAGAAAATCCACTCATAACAAGGTAGCCATAAAGCATCTCAGGTATGTATTCTAGAGGGAAACAAACTTCTGTACGTGATTAACAAGTAAATAAGTAAATGAAATATGCATAAATATATACAATTAAATAGGAATATATATAGCTATAAAATAAGATAATAATATCTGCACCTTTCAACATCATTCCTACAGAATCAAGAAGTCCACAATGTATTAATATGTCCCTTCACGATGCTAATGTTAGTGGCGTGCATAGGTTTGATGATGCCGGGGTGGTTACTTGTCCCGACCGCCAATCAAATAGGGCCTACTTGCTGATAAATGTGAGAAAAGAAACATTCCATATAATTATGTTAAATCAGATTAATATTGTTGTATACCCCACGCGTTTAGCACAAGATAGTGCTGGACGATATTTTCATTATTGCGATATCAATATAAAAACCAACAATATATTGCCAATATTGCAATATTATACTGCTTCCAGACAAGGGGGGGGGGGGGGCGAATAGGTAGCGCTTGCGCGTTGCATCTGTCATTGGGTCAAATGGCATGGTTTCGATTCCCCGGTTGTACGTGACAAGAAGTAGGGTAGCCTGTCCATCCAGCCTCGTAGTTTTTCTCCGGGTATTCCGGTTTTCTCTCACTGCTAAAAACCCCAATTATTGAAATAAATTAGATCCATATGATAGTCCCGAAATGATCCAGTTTGTGTCGAGTGGACGTTTAACCCCATCTCTCTCGGTCGGTAGTATAAAATAACCATGTCTGCTTGTCATGTTTGAAAAAATGTTTGTCACTCTTATTCTGTTGTGAGTATGTTGTTCTATGAAATGCTTTTCCCCAATGGCAAAAAATAGTCGGTCTCAAAAAAATTACTCACCGCAGTCGGTCTCAGACTAAATGAATTAATGAGGTAAAGAAACAATTACAAAACAGGCGAAATAGACAGATAGGCCACAAGATTATGTCGCATTTCTTATCCTCTCGTTAACGAGAATTTGGTTCCATTTGCAATGACAATGATTCAAATTTTCAGGCCCAGTCCCGAAAAATTAAATGCTCGGTTACATATCTGAAATTTGTTCGCGCCTGAGGCGCTCGATTCCGTTATAACATCATTCTTCTATTCCTCTGTCATATTCACGATTGTAGTGAACTGCCCAGTTATACTGGTGTGTGGGTCATGGGGCGTCAGACTATACACATGTTATGTCAACTCTTGCAAAACAGGCGGAATTGACAGGGGCAGATCTCGAGATTCTGTCCCATTGGCTCACATTTCTGGTCCTCTCGTCCACAAGACTTTCTCCCAGCAATGACCTCAAGTGCTAGGATATTGACTCAATTTTTCCAAAATTTTCTCAGGTTGCTCAGTGTTGTAGGCACAATCATCATATATGACATAAACTTTATGTCAACTTAAATAAAACTGCTTTCCGGCGAGACAACGATCGGCGAACAACTATATATTTATACAATACTGTCTATGTTCTACTGGGACACTTAATGCTATAGCCAGTATTTTGTTGACATTCATTGTGGGGTGGGATTGTGGATGGCTCCCTAGATTTGGAACCACCCCACCCCACCCCTATTCCCAGCTTCTAGATCCGCTCTGCACATGGTCCCTAGAAAACTCGCACCTGTGGTGCGCGGCTCCTGACTGCGTCACTCATACTGGGGGTATGTGCATCAGTCGGCCGCATTTTGGCTAAACACCCCCCCCCCCAAACAAAATCGTTATGTACGCCTCTGAATATGAACCCCCACAATCATTGTGGGGTGGGATTGTGGATGGCGTCCTAGATTTGGAACCACCCCCACCCCACCCCTATTCCCAGCTTCTAGATCCGCTCTGCACATGGCCCCTAGAAAACTCGCACCTGTGGTGCGCGGCTCCTGACTGCGTCACTCATACTGGGGGTATGTGCATCAGTCGGCCCCATTTTGGCTAAACACCCCCCCCCCCCCAAACAAAATCGTTATGTACGCCTCTGAATATGAACCCCAACATCCCTAACAATATAACATGGTGTGAGAAGTGAGCTATTTAGTAATTGCAGCCGAATGACTGGCCTGAATGGAAATGGAAAAAACGATATGGCCGCTACCGCATTGATCCAAACTGTATGGAGAGGCGGCTAAAGTCCGGGTTAACAATTTAATTTATTGTATGGGAGAAGAAGCAGAAATAATTTTTGAACAGATGGGTTTATCTGCCAGGGATCAAAATAATTATGACCTAGTTCTGGGAGAGAGCAGTGTTCCATGATCGAAGCCAACAAGATGGTGAAACTGTTGAATATTTTGTAAGAGCTTTCTATAAACTTTCAGGGACGTGTGAATATGGTGATACTAAAGAAATACAAATAAGAGATACATTTATCTGGGGTTTAAAAGATAAAAGTCTCTCAGAAAAATTACATACGAAGCATGATGTTGCTCTAGATTTAGCTTTAGAAATAGCAAGAAATCATGAAATGATAAAACAACAAAATAAAGATGAGAAGAATGAAGTAGATGTTATTCGACGACCAAATAGAAATAATAATAATGGGCCTAATTATAAATATCATACTAACTATGAAGGGCAGAGAAGATCCGGTTATAGAAATAATAATAATTTTGGTAGAAGTTAGCCAACTGGCTCAAGACAATCTCCATCTAGAGATGTAATAAACTGTAATAAATGTGGCCAATCTCATAAAATCCGAGAGTTTGTTACTCCAGGGACAATAATTATCAGGGTAGAAAATCAAAATAATTATCAACTATACAACAGGTTCGAAACGGGTAATGGAAGTAAAATATGGTGGAAATGAAGAATATGGAGAAAATAGTCCTGAAACACAAGTTAGTAGTCATGAATATTCAGTTCAAAATGGAAAATCCGGTTTTATTTTATTAGATGAAACGAACGAATCAAATGGTAATCAATGGTAGTCAAATGGTAATCAATGACTCATTCCACTGTCAGTAGAAAATGCCATTATTCCGTTTAAGATAGACAGAGGCGCTCAAGCCAATATTTTGCCTGTGAAAGATTTTAAAGTTCTTGAAGCTAATGGTGTGAGGCTGATTAACCATAAAGTAAATTTGACTACCTATAATAATGAACCAATCCAGAATTGTGGTAGATGCATAGCAGACTTAAAGGACGAAGCGAGACAATTTAGGGTCATGTTTACTGTAGTTACAAAAACAGGTGCACAACCAATTATACGGAGAGATAGAGGAATGGGGTTTAACGTCCACTCACACAAACTAGGTCATTTCGGGACTAACACATGGTTCAATTTTATTTCAATAATTCGCTTGCGCGTAGGGGCCTTTAGAAGTGGGAGGAGACCGGAACCAATTATAGGCCTGAAGTCCAGTGAAAGAACGGAGTTAATAAAGAGAGTCCACATTATTAATGAAGAAATAAGACCAAATAATAAAAATGAAGATAAACTTCAGAATACTGGTACTAAACATGAATGTATTAAGAAGTATCCGAAACCATTTGGTGCAGAATTGGGTGAACTGCCAGATAGAATTTATATGAAATTGAAAGAAGAAGCACAAGAAATAAACATCCATGCAGAAATGTACCATTTGCTTTTCATGATAAATTAAAAGAAGAATTAAGGAGAATGGAAGACCATGCAGTTATAAGAAAAGTGGCAGAACCAACGTAATTTGTAAATAGTATGTAATAGTAGAAAAATCTAATGGTAAACCTAGGGTGTATCTAGATCCCAGAGATCTTAA